GATGTAAGGGGGGCCCTCGTATGGCAGGCTCTGATGTAAGGGGGGCCCTCGTATGGCAGGCTCTGATGTAAGGGGGGCCCTCGTATGGCAGGCTCTGATGTAAGGGGGGCCCTCGTATGGCAGGCTCTGATGTAAGGGGGGCCCTCGTATGGCAGGCTCTGATGTAAGGGGGGCCCTCGTATGGCAGGCTCTGATGTAAGGGGGGCCCTCGTATGGCAGGCTCTGATGTAAGGGGGGCCCTCGTATGGCAGGCTCTGATGTAAGGGGGGCCCTCGTATGGCAGGCTCTGATGTAAGGGGGGCCCTCGTATGGCAGGCTCTGATGTAAGGGGGCCCTCGTATGGCAGGCTCTGATGTAAGGGGGGCCCTCGTATGGCAGGCTCTGATGTAAGGGGGGCCCTCGTATGGCAGGCTCTGATGTAAGGGGGGCCCTCGTATGGCAGGCTCTGATGTAAGGGGGGCCCTCGTATGGCAGGCTCTGATGTAAGGGGGGGGCCCTCGTATGGCAGGCTCTGATGTAAGGGGGGCCCTCGTATGGCAGGCTCTGATGTAAGGGGGGCCCTCGTATGGCAGGCTCTGATGTAAGGGGGGCCCTCGTATGGCAGGCTCTGATGTAAGGGGGGCCCTCGTATGGCAGGCTCTGATGTAAGGGGGGCCCTCGTATGGCAGGCTCTGATGTAAGGGGGGCCCTCGTATGGCAGGCTCTGATGTAAGGGGGGCCCTCGTATGGCAGGCTCTGATGTAAGGGGGGCCCTCGTATGGCAGGCTCTGATGTAAGGGGGGCCCTCGTATGGCAGGCTCTGATGTAAGGGGGGCCCTCGTATGGCAGGCTCTGATGTAAGGGGGGCCCTCGTATGGCAGGCTCTGATGTAAGGGGGGCCCTCGTATGGCAGGCTCTGATGTAAGGGGGCCCTCGTATGGCAGGCTCTGATGTAAGGGGGGCCCTCGTATGGCAGGCTCTGATGTAAGGGGGGCCCTCGTATGGCAGGCAGGCTCTGATGTAAGGGGGGCCCTCGTATGGCAGGCTCTGATGTAAGGGGGCCCTCGTATGGCAGGCTCTGATGTAAGGGGGCCCTCGTATGGCAGGCTCTGATGTAATCGTGTGCCCTCATGTAAGGGGGACTCTGCAGGGAGGGACCCTGATGTAAAGGGAACACTGATGTGGGGGGCTCTGATGTAAGAGTGGCTCTTAGGGTGCACAGGGGTGCCATAATTGTACATTGAGTAATTCGAAGGATCGTTTGATAGAGTAAACCAATAGGGTCTCTTCCTTGATTAAAACAAAAATCCTTCTTTTTTTTTTTTTTTTTTTTTTTTTTAATAGTTTAATTCCACTTTACCCCTGGTTCACATGTCCGTGTTCCTGCGGTCCGTGTTCCTGCGGTCCGTGTTCCTGCGGTCCGTGTTCCGCACGGGCATGACAGCCCATTCATCGCAGGAGAGAAGTCGCTGCACTTCTTCGGAAAACGCAGCCCACACAGGAACCTCGGTTCCCAGTACGGTTGCAATTTCCAGTGCCTGTAGCGTGCCATTAGAATTAATGGCACTCACCCGCGGGTCCGCATTCCTCGCGTGTGCGTGTGGTGCGGCTGCACGGATTTTTGTGCGGGTCTTTAGCGGCACCACCCGCACAGATGTGAACCTAGCCTGAAGAGGAATCTAGTGTTGGGAATTACACATGCTCTGAGAATGGTGCTTCAAAGGTGAATGCAGTTTCCTTGTAATGCAAATAAGCTTTTAAAGCTGAATTCCGGGATAAGTGAATATTGTCCAAATCAATCCATCCATCCATCCATCCATCCTGTGTATTCTTCTTGAATGTCGGTGAGCTTTGTGCATTTCTTCCAGATCTGTGCAGTAGTCCAGTGTGAGACTTTGCCACTGTGCGACGTTCCTGTAATGCAGACCTCTCACTGTGGCTCTCTCTGTTTGTACAAGTTGACTGGTCTTGTCTCCTCCCCCTTCTTTTGTCTTCTGCAGGCAGCCTACGGTGGGTGGAGTCAGCTGGCCCCCTCCCACAGCTCTGCTATGCACAGCACGGTGATGATGTCACTGCTAGTTTTACAAGTTAATACCTACATTTTGCAAAGGCATTCGGTGCACACAAAGTAGATTTTTATTTTGTGTGAGGAATTTATTTAAATGAAACAAATTGTAGCCATGGTGGAGCTTTAAGTGAGCAAGTTACATTTCCTAATCCTTTTCTCTGCAGCATACATATCTGTAGCAGCTGTCATAATCTTTTAGGTTAGGTTGGATTATCTTCAAACTTGGCCATTAATCCCTGTTTAATGCCATCTAATAAATCAGTGCAATTCTGTAGTCACCACCACTGTGAGGAATGGATCGGTTGCAGGACACATTTTTATTTAATAGGTAAACCATTTTGTTTATAGGGATTTGTAGGAGAAGGAATGTCTTAATTGTTTTTTTTATTTTCTCTGCAAAGTATCCTGCAGTGAATGCATATCATATGGTTTCAGTACAGCATGAGGCCGGCGCTGGTGTAGTAACACACATTCACGATCCTTTTCAAGGTGCTGAGTGCCGTTTTTTTTAGCAAGAGCTTGTTGCAGGAATTTTTTGGAGCTCTGCATGGCTCCCCCCCAGCCCCTATAACCCCCGGTTCACATCTCTGCGGGCTGCGTTCTGCACGAGAGCCCATTCATTTGAATGGACTCCCGTGCCCGTGACACGCAGGGAAGTAGTCCCTGCACTTCTTTGGAAAACGCAGCCCACATGAGAACCTCGGTTCCCAGTATGGTTGCGTTTACCAGTGCGGGTGGTGCGCCATTTGAACTAATGTCACTTGCCCGTGGGTCTGCATTTCTCTGTGTGGGTGGTGCAGCTGCACGGATTTTCATGCGGATCCACAGTGGCACCACCCGCACAGATGTGAACCTAGGGTTAATACTTATCTGAGCCCTTCTTAGATTGTAAGCTCCCAGGATCAGGGCCCTCCTATCCCTCTTGTATTGAACTGTATTGTTGCTGTATTGTCTCCCGTTATATTGTAAAGCGCTGAGCAAACTGTTGGTGCTATATAAATCCTGTATAATAATAATAATAAATAATAATAATATATATAAATCCTGTATAATAATAATATATAAATCCTGTATAACAATAATATATATAAATCCTGTATAATAATAATAAAATATAATATATAAATCCTGAATATAATAATAATATATAAATCCTGTATAATAATAATAATATATAAATCCTGTATATAATAATAATAATATAATATATAAATCCTGTATAATAATAATATAATATATAAATCCTGTATAATAATAATATAATATATAAATCCTGTATAATAATAATAATAATCTTGATCCAGCGCTGTGCCCAAGAACAGCAGTGCTCCACTCTCTCTTTACCAGACTCGGTGGGAGCAGCAAGAGCCACTTGGCTCCTTCTGTAGTCATTCAGATCCTGTGAGAAGGTGACGCGCACCGTGTGCGTGTGTCAGTAGACGCGCAGCCGCGTGTGTGCGTGCGGGTCAGTAGACGCGCAGCCGCGTGTGTGCGTGCGGGTCAGTAGACGCGCAGCCGCGTGTGTGTGTGTGCGTGCGGGTCAGTAGACGCGCACTGTGTGTGTGTGCGTGTCAATAAACGCGCACAACCTGGCTCAGGATTGAGCCTGCACATCTGCCTCCATAGCAAGTGCTTGCTTTGGAGGCAGACACAGAAAAGGGAGAGCCAAGAGCACCAGCGGGGGGACCCCAGAAGAGGAGGTTGGTGCCGCTCTGCAAAACCATTTGAACAGGAAAGTATAACATGTTTAGTATAATAATAATAATAAAAAGCCTTTACAATCACTTTAAAGTGCGCTTCTCACTAACTCTGAATGTGTGCTCACTATGCTTCCCTTTTTTCCTTTCCCAGAAGGAGGTTTTATGTGCAGCAAATGTTACTTTCCTATGTCAGTAAATATTGGCAGAATGTTGCTTGTCAGCTGTAGCGATCTTGTCTGTATATAATAGCAGCCCACACAACTCTCCAGGACAATGACCACTTTTTACTTTGTACGTCCCCAATGTTCCGTGCTCCTCCCACAAATCTTTCAGAGCTGCGAACTTTGACAATAATAAAAACAACTGTACTGAAACCCTCTCTCTCCTTTTTTCTTTCCTTTCACAGGAAATGACCTAGAGGCCTTACGAATACATTGTGCGCATTCTTTCTCCACAACGCCATCCAGAGCAAACTCAATCTGGGAGCTGCACTTGTTTCCGCTGTTACCAACTACCTCAACATACCCAGAGGAGGAAGAGGAGGGGAGGGAAGCTTTCCCAGTAGCAAATCTGTGATTTCACACTATCGAGAACATAGTATTAGAAGCACTTAAACTCGGAGCAGACTGGATCTGCTGGACTGTAGCATTTACACATCTGTTAGAACCATATATATATATATATATATATTATTTTTTTTTTCCATTGAGAGGCTGTGGATTGCTTGAAACCCACTGTTGACCAGTGTTTTTGATTGTTCATTTTTTTTTTTCTTTCGGTTTTGTTGTTTTGATTGCAACTTTTTTTTTTTTTTTTTTGGTTGGTGTTTTGTGCTTTTTCTTCACATTTAAAGGATTATACTTTTTTTCACATGCTCCTTCCTCCCTGGATGTCTATAAAGGATTTTGCAGCAGTGGGATTCCTGGCCGGTGACGAGAAGCCTAAATAAAAAGGACGGGAGTTGTTTTGGGACAAAGGGACGCACAGCTTTTTCGGAGACTTCAGCTGGTTTGGAAAATACAAGTTGTGAGCCGCAGCTGGGCTGCATGGAGTCCTGAAATTCTCCAAGTCAGCATAATTGCTGCCTTCCTCTGCTGATACAGATTACCCACGCTTGCCTTTTGGAGATGCCTTTTCCGAAACCTATGTATGCAGCCCTCCTGTATTATCTGACCTAGCCCGTCGTTTTCAAAAAGGCTGATTCTGGAGGACGCCTGCCTAGGTTTGGGACGCCTTTGGCTACTAGGTCACCTATGTATTGCTGTAGTGCACAAGAAAGTAAGATGGACTACAAGAGGCGTTTCTTGCTTGGCGGGTCCAAGCAGAAGGTGCAGCAACACCAGCAGTACCAAATGCCCGAGCTCAGCCGGACTCTGAGCGCACCCTTGGCCTCAACCACCCCTTTAGTGTCCTCGGCTAATGCGGGCAGCTGCCCCCATCCTGGTGCCCACACTACCCCCATTGCGGACATCCAGCAGGGTATCTCAAAGTATTTGGACGCGCTCAACGTCTTCTGCCGCGCCAGCACTTTCCTCACGGACCTTTTCAGCAGTGTTTTCCAAAATTCGCACTACTCGAAGGCAGCTATGCAACTCAAAGACGTGCAGGAACATGTCATGGAGGCTGCAAGTCGACTCACTGCAGCAATAAAACCAGAGATCGCAAAAATGCTGATGGAGCTGAGTGCTGGGGCTGCCAACTTTAAAGACCAGAATGAGTTCAGTCTGCAGGACATAGAGGTCAGTTTTTTTTTTTTTCTTTATTATTATTATACCTTGATTGATTAATATCTATAGTTTTGTTACGACAGGTCACTTGCATTCTATGTTTGCCCGGCAACAGATGATTTTCTGCTTTGGTTTCAAAAATTTTCTTCTTTAAAGTATTAGTGCATCTTTAAATCTGGACCCCAGGCAAACTGCTTAATGCACTGAAGAAATACATAAAGGAGCGGTTTTGCATGACAAATTTGTATTTCTCTCCATGGAGTCCTGAGATGTACACAGCTCTGCCACACAGCCAGGGAAATAACACCACTTACAGGAATAGGAATACAGTAGTGTTTTCTCTCTCCGCCTTTTGACTGGGTTGTGAGACAGCAGGAGACCAATGGGGTTCACCATCTGCTCACTCTGTTCTCTCCTCTCATCAGCCTGTTTCTTGTCAGCACCTTCAGCTAACCTGATTGGCTCCTAGTTCTCCCTCTCCCTGTCTGAGTGCTGCTGTATAGTGCTGCTATTACTTTCTACAATGAAGTGCATATTCATAATGTGGCTTCTTAAAGACGTATTCTACTCTGTTTGGGTCCGCTGTTTTCCTTAGGCCCCATGTACACAGGACACTTCTGAACGATGGAAACTGACTGCTGGAAAACGTTGGTTAAAAAACATCTGTTTAGCCACGTTTGCATACCGCGTTTATGTGCGTTTGCGTTTAGAAGCGTTTTTTTAAAGATAAGCACAGGAGAACCTCCCAAATGCCCAGAATGCACTGAAAAGTGGTAAATTCTTAACTATTTCAGAGAAATACAGAGAGTAGAAGCAGAGACAGCAGTATTTGTTGAGATTAGCTTAGGCGTGAGTTGCTCATTAACATTTCTTTTGTTTCCAAGGGTGGGAAAGGTGTGTGGTGGAGGGAGTCATGAAGGCCACCTGGCAGGGGGTCTTCATGAGGAAAGTGAGGTGTTAATGGTTATTAACATATCTTTTGTTTCCAAGGGTGGGAGAGGTCTGAGGTGTGAATTGGTCATTACAATGTGTGACAAGCTTTGTAGGAACATCCTGTGTTCAGTGTTTTGTCCATTTGAGTACCTCGAAAACACTTTGCATGCATTTTTCGTGATGAAAAAAGGCTCTGGACAGCATCTGGAAATGGAAGAGTTAAAAAGAAAATTTCCAAACGCCTATAAACGCGGTTAACCGTGTGTACATGTTTTTACAAGTGTTTGGAACGCTGATAAAATCTACTCCTGAACGCAAGTTGATTGCGTTAAAAAAAAAAAAAAAACGACAGCAAACTCAACTGCCTGTAGACGACATAGTGTACATGGACAAATAGGAAAGCATTAGGGAGAGTTCAGGGGCTGCTGAAAAAAAAGCTCCTAAATGTGAGTTTATCAGCTGCAGTGTACATGAGCCCTTTGAGTTGGACATTCCTACTGTAAGGTCTATGCCCCGGCTATTGCAGAGTTTCCCTCACTAATTGTCTGGTGACTTGGACTGTGACCTGGACTGGCTTTTCCACACCACAATGTCATGTGCTGCATCATGTGTTGTCACATGCTGCAGCTTGTTTAAAGTGATAGTAAAGTCCTGCTTGTTTATACGTACATTTAAGGCATACCTGTAGGTACAGTATAGATCTCCTAACCATGCAATGCTTTTAGGAGAGATTTACTTGTATAGCAGCTGGTGACGTCACCGGCGCATGCGCAACGCACACTCAATGGACTGCCATCCTTTGTGAGAGCTGTGCCACAGCCATAACTCAAGTGGCCGGAGCTCGCACATCCGGAAAGAAGATTGGGTGAAGACGGAAGGCTAGGGGAGCAGTAACAACAGACCGCTGGAGGGCTTCATTTTAGGGTACGTTTTTCATAATGTGCTATTATGCCAAGCGTATTTGCACATTATGCTGTTTTTTTGCAGTTTACTACTGCTTCAGGGAGGAACTTCCTCCCCCATTTCTGTTACCTCTCCCCCCTCCAGCGCCACCATTTTTTTTGCTTTTGCACAAATATGCTGACAGGCTTTGCCCAGCCACTGGGTCGGGGCTGAGCCCTCCGGCACATCTGCGCATGCGCAGATTTCCCTCATATGCGCAAAGACAGCAGAGTTTTGGGACTTCACATTTACCTGCCTTTGCACATACGCAAATGTAAGGGGAATCTGGCTAAAGCCCTGAGGCACGTCTACATAAATGCAGGATCCAGGAGGCGATGGGGAAGTGTAGACATTTCGGCCTAGGTGAGGAACGTGAAAGTTTTTGCTTTGCTGCACAATAAATCTTTTAAAAAAAATAAAGTAAATATAAAATAAAAATATATCCAATTGGAAGTTGAATTCCAAAATGAATGGGCTGAAATGCACATCAAAGCATGTGAAAACAAGGCACACTGCATTCTATAACAACACATGGGACCAGGGGCGGACTGACAACTCATGGGGCCCCCGGGCAATAGGGGATCATGGGGCCCCTGTGTCCTTGCCCAAACTCAAAAAAGCCTATGAAAAAGGTACCAGGGGCATCTCATGTGGCCCCCTACTGACCCCGGGCCCTCGGGCAGTGCCCGAGTTTCCAAATGGACAGTCCGCCCCTGCATGGGACACCATGCGTTGTGCTGCGATGCTGTGCACTGGCATTTTGGAGATGCGTTGGATTGCCAGTCACAAGGAGTGGTACAGCAGCGCACCAATGCATGTGTCTATATCTGGGGGGGGGAAGGGGGGTATTTTTAGTTATATGTCGTGACCAAGAATAGAAATAAAGAACCCGATTGTTTGTGACATCTATAAATATTACATAGCAAGTGCCACGGCTTATTTTTGTTTGGTTTCTTGGTAACAAAAATGAAGCAACATTTAATGGTGGAGTTCGGATTTAGAGACAACCTTTTATTTAGCAATGTAAAAGTTTTCTGTAATGACCACTAAGACTGGCTGTCACAGAGATCCATAGATTAGCTATTGCTAAATGGTTAATGACTCTTGCATAGGAAATCTCCTTTGCCCACTGGCCCCGTGTTTTTGCAGGTCTCGGGGTCCACCTACACTTTTCATCTTTTAAAAGAACAGAAAAAATATCTTTCTTCACTTAGGGACGTGCCAAGCTGCTGCGGAGAGACCAATGCTGTCACACGGAGCACAGTGGTGGTTCCTAGCAGCTTGCTGCCCAGCCTCAGAGTGCATTGCCCCTGGGGATTATTTAAGTCTATGTTCACACTAGCTTTGTCAGCGGGCGGCAGACAGGCGTTTGGGAAGTGTTTTTAACGCTTCTCAAACGCCTATGAAAATTCTGCACATGGCAGCACACAGTGCTGTTCACACTGAAGCGTTAGCGCTGCGTCGCGTTGCAGCAAAACTGACGCCTCTTGTTGAGTCAGGAGGAGTTGAAGCCTTCCATTCAAGTCTGCGGTGCGGTTGCGGAGCGTTAATACCATTTAACTTCATTATAGGCGTTTGTGGTGCGGTTTTAACGCTTGGCAAACGCCTATCAACCACCTCAAAACCGCGCATAGGGCGTTTTGGGAGCATTTGAGGAGCGTTAAAACCGCTTCCCAAACACCTGTCTCAATGCCTGTCAAACGCTATAGGGGCGTTTGGCAAGAGTTAGAAATAAAGTCAAATGTGAATGAGCCCTAAAAGTCGCAAAAAGTAAGCGCTTCTCGCAATGTGCATTAGAAGCCGCAGCAAGTCAGAGAGAGCCCGCCTCATTTCCTGGCTGGAGGACATCCAGCATCATCTAGCTCTTTCTCAGAATGACTGTCCCTGGCCCACCCCTTTCAATCACTGAATTGCTTACCATTTGGTTTAGCACTCCTGTTTGTCTGTTTTTTAAGTAACCTTGTTTCATGTGAATCAAAGGATGAGGGGGAAAAACTGTTTTACCCCAGGTTCACACCTAAGCGTTTTCTGCATCGTTTTGCAGTAACGCAGTACAGTCCATTTACCATGCTTTCCTATGGGACAGGTTCACACCTGTGCGGTTTTTGGAAAGGGTCATGGACTCTTTTTTTTTTTTTTTTTAAAACTCAAAGTTTTTGTTTGTTGACTTCAATGGAAACTCTGCAGAAAAGCATGTATTGTTTTTTTTTTTGCTCCATTATTGATGAGTTTTTAAATCTGCCTAGCAACGGGGAAAAAACGCATCAAAAATGCAAGTGAAAAACCACAATGCGAGCAAACTTGGCGCTATATAAATCCGGTATAATAATGCAGAAATGACTGCATAGGCAGGGGCGTCCTTAGGGTTGCTGTCATCCGGTGCGATAACACTTGGTGACACCCCCTCCGATGATCCCCGCAGAATTTATCGGATCTGCAGATTGAGCATAATGGATCGGAGTCCGATCCATTATGCTCCTAAATCTGCAGATCCAATCCATCCTGCGGAGATCGTCGGCATGTAACCTATACGGGGTGACACCAGACCCGCTCCACGAAAAGGTAAGTTGTAAAGCAAACCAACGATCCCCGCAGGATGGATCGGATCTGCGGATTGGGGAGCATACTGGATTGGAGTCCGATACATTATGCTCCATCTGCAAATCCGATCCATCCTGCGGGGATCGTCGGCTTGCTTTACAACTTACAAAAATATTAATAGTGCCGCGCTCCTTTTACTATATATAATATAATATAAATACAATCTACTCTCTTCCAATAATTATATAAATTGAAACCTCAACAAAATCCATAGATCACTATACTTAGTGGGTGAAAGATAATATATATTCACTGTGACTAGTGAATCAAAAAAAAAAAAAAAAAAAAATTGTTATAAAAGAACCTTAATAAATAGGCCGATCTCAATCAAATCATAACTAATAAATTAAATTAAAATAGGAGTGTGTATAAATACTTGGTGCCACTTATCAATCCATCAATATTGTGCAAAAACATATATTGATATTAATGTGCAAGTGCAAACTTAATAATACATAAATAAATAAAAAGTCTTTTGAAGTAAGTGCAATGTGCAGGTGAATTCCTTATTCCCTTTTGCCTCAGGTGCCTTGTGA